GAAGAAAAAGGCCAGGCACGTACCTTATGGCACCTTTTGTAGCAGAGTCTTAAAAGTCTCAAGAGCCAGAAACCGTAAACCTGTCCTCGTAGCAGAAGATAGGCTAAAAGTAGACTTTTTTGATATGTTGGGTTTTTAAAATTAACCTTACCGCAGGGCTATCATTTCTGCACCACAATTCTGTCAAGAGAATTGTTCTGCTCTAAGAATGTATCTTAATAATATGCAACTATGTTCTTATTTCCTTCAAAGCACTATCACTTTAGCATAACTGTGTACAGGAATATTGCTTCTAGAATAACTGAATATACGAGTGTTTTTAATATCTATATCGCAAACACAGTTATAGCAGTACTTGCTGAATCACTTAAATTATATATAAATACTTTAAAAATTCCGGCATTATTTAAGACCTTGCTATTGAAGTCCCACGTCGGTCAAACTCCCAAGTAGGAGCATTGTGATTTTTGCTCACTCTCTAAAATGCGATGAAAAATTTTATTATTTTTAGCAGAGGGAGACTATTGGAAATATTTACATTAGACGCATCATTACACATGTGCATTATTAACATTATTGAAAGTACGTAGTCTTTTATTTTGGTAAAGGCATTGGCCTCTTTCAAGAAAAGCTGTTAAGGCTGCTTCTACTGTCGCTGCATACGTCGTTGTAGTGAAAAATCAGAATTTACTTATTGTCCTGCGTTTTTTCGGTTTTTGAAACATTTTGAGATTTGTTACATAACTTTCTGTACTTACAAATATTAGCGCGATAAATTCTGAAAGCACCAAATAAATTTTTCCGCACCATGCCGAGCTATCGATGTGTTTTTAAAAGTATATTTCTGAACGATATATTCAATCAAGCTAACATTAAAATATTATATATATAAAAACATATAAATCAACTTTTTTGACAACGTAACCAATAAAGATTGAATTACAAATAGATTTGAAGTTCAATAACTCGGGTAATATCTTTGCTAAACTTCACAATTTACATAACGACTTTACAACAAAGCTTGGGTCACGAATTATTTCCGATATGCAGATAGTAGAGCCATTAAAAGACATACAAAATTGCGTGGGCTAGATAATAGAATTTAAGCATCGAGATTAACATTTAATTGTCATCACAGCATCTTGATATCGTGCCAATCAAAAAGCACAATAACTTTTTTCTATTGAACCTAAACAGGGATAACACAATTCTGGATTATTCGTGTATAGTTTGTAAACTGTGCCTTACGAAATCACTTTAGTGTCAAGAGTATGCAAAATCAGAGTGAACCTACAAAAGATTGTTGCGGTACTTTTCTTATTTGTTTAATCTTAGCAAATAAAAGTTGTCATTCACTTCTGGTCTAAAATAACGCTCCTTGAGGTAACTATTCATCTAAATTATAGTTTTGCTATCGGTCTAAAATTTTAACATGAACCTTAAAAAAAATTTAAGTAAAGTATATCGCAATCGAAGCTTTCCTTTTTATTTAAATACAGTGCCCAATCCTGCATATGTACCAGCTATGCGAAGCCTGTTCATGAAACCATGCTGGTCATTATCTGATGGCCCTTTTTGAGAAAATATCACACCATGTAACACATCGAAAATGATATTCTCGAATTTAATCCGATATATATAGACCAATTTAGCTGAGCTTTGTGATTTGGTCAAAATATTCTCGAGATTCATTTCTTGATAGAGTTCTTCACAAGTATCTGTGTATTGTTGGTTCATTATCCAAGTTGATGCACTAATGTTTCATTACAGATTTTTTCGCTTACCAAACGCTACCGCTTTTATTTACTTCCTACTGTACAAGCTTGGTCTACTGGTTATAGGTACGCTATAGGCACTTCCTAAACCTCAATATCGACACTTTTTGAGCAATATATGGAATACCTGAAACAACACTCACATAGTCATTGGAGCTTCGTCATCACTATATCTTTCAAATCTGTAAACCCAAGCTCTGTTTTACAGTATTTATTGTTATACAATTCTGAGCTGTTAAAAAAATCACCTATTTTGCAAATTTGCAGAGCATGGGCCCTTCGCAAGCCCTCTCAGGTATAATAGTAATAACATATCGCATATCCTGATTTATAGATACCACGTGTACGTAAAGATATGTCCGAGTTGTCAATCACACCTTGCTTGAAACCATCTTCTCGAATTAAATCAAGGCCTTTTTAATTCAAGTAAAAACATATGTAATTATACATTTTGTCTGTCTTCCGAGTATGTATTTCCTTAGCTGTATTCATCTGTAGTCCTCAATCTCATAAAGTTAATATTAACATAAAGTATTAAGTAAACATATAAAGTGAACGATATTAGCTGAAAAAATTCTGTTATATTCTTAAGGAAGTTGTATGAAGCTGCTGACTTTAGAAAGTCAATTTAATAATTTTTAAAAACTTTTTTAAAAATAGGATCGAATTGCCAAATTTAATATTTCTTAAAATATCATGGCTAAACTCGATCTCCTTTGCGGTATCGCATGGCTCGCACCGGAAGTGGAACGCGCATATAGTATCAATTACTAACGTTGACGAGCATAGCGAACTGAAAAAGTAGGTATATGAGGATCATATTAGTATTCGAAGACGAATATTCAGTGGCAACATATCCTTTTATGAAGGACACAACTAAACTTCACTTGCTGGTAAACATATATTAGATCTATAATGTTTTTTTTACTAAAGGCTAAGTTATTCACCAAATTATAACTATATGTTTAGCACTAAATTATTTGTAACGATTTATTAAAATGTATATGGATATGATAGAAAAATAGATATTGTAATATGGAACTTCATTAGGATTTTGTGAACGCGCCAAATAAGGCACATCTACCTAAACCCTGAGCAGATTGTAAGAGACAGTAAGGCGTATCAAAGACATACGCGTGTAACCCAGATCTCATGCTAACCAAAATCTCATGCAAAAATTTATCGCGCGAGCAACATCATTAGTAATAAAAAGACGAATAAATACTATAAAATACTTAAAACACTTATTAAGTAAATAAGAAAAGCTTGATATTGACGATTTTTTGATTAAAAGACCTGTAATACGTGCTCCTATCTTATAAACTTAGTACAAACGTGCAGTTTAGTTTCACTATGTTTAGCTCAAAAGAGACACCTTAACGGTTACTCATAACAGTACCTCTTATTTTCATTTGCTTGGTTTCTTAACTTAAAAACTGCGCCTCATCTAGAACTCAAAGGCAATTTTGTTAAAGCACGTGAATTTTTACTGACCTTTTACGTACCCAGTTTTGAACTTTTAGAAGTAAGACACCTTGATACGCCGAGTTTAGCTTAGTGGATAAGCGGCAATGTACTGTTCATCTCAGTATGTAGATAATAGTAAAAAATATTTGGTTATATAAACTTCATCCTTACATATATAAATTACAACATAATACCATTTTCCATACGTCCTGCAACAATAATCTGTGTGAAAAAAAAACTCAAACCCGCAGCATTTATTGGAGTAACTTGTATACAGCTATTTCATTGCAGCACTAAAAAGTATTTCCTTAACCTACATTCATTTTCTAATATAAATTGCTCAAAATTCGTTTTATATTATTAGAGTTCATAGAAGTCCTGCACGAAGTTTAGTGTAAATTGGATTTTTTTGCTCAGTAATTTTTCTTGATTTATTTCATCATATGCTACAAATTGGCTATCATTTAGAATAATTAAAGAATTTATACGAGATGCATTTTTGGGAATTAGGTTTTAAATCTAAACTATTAAAATCAATAGTAGTAATAATGATATTAATAATAACAATAATAATAATCATGCGTAAATGGCGTTCGCAGCTGTTTGCAGAAACGCTGAGTGTTGACAAAATAGGTAGAGTTCACAAGCAAGTTGCTTTTAAGTTGTTTGTCTCAAATGCTACATGATGTGAATATTTCTTAATTATTAGTAGTTATTAATTTAAACATTTTAATATAAAAACTTTTATTTCTGTTTTAAGTGCCGAGCTTGCATTCACACCGCAAAATAAAAACCCATATTAATTGTTACTGCATCCTTTCATTTCGACCATCAGCCCGAAAGTTAGTTGATTCCTCCATTGTACAATCTATTCAATGCAGACAGCAAAGTTTGACTGAGGAATCGAGAATGTAGACTCCATAATCTCTAATAATGATCTGATGGATAATTTTGACGCCTCAACAAGCAAATTGGCGCATACAATGTGTTTTAACCTTGGTTGATCTACATATAGCACTTTCAATGAGTTCAAATTAACTTAAAACTAAAAGCATTGTTATTTTTTAAGGTGAATTTAAATTAGAGAAAGCATCTATAAATGGTTGTTTCAAGATACACTTATATTATGTATAAGACCTATACCACTTGGCAGATTCGATAAATAAATGAAGTCACCATCATATGTCGGCAGTTATTTCTAGTGTATTTAATACAGGTCATATTAAAGGCTTTAGAATGATTGGGAAACAGATAACAACGGTATCAACACCAAAAATTCGAACATTGATTCTACGACCCGCGGTCTCCTATTGTTGATCAGCCCGCTTCTCGCCGAGTGGCTGCAATTTCTTAGCTGAGATCCTGGATGCGTATCTATGTAGCACCTTGCATAGCTCGTATGCTCTACAGAACACGTCACCGTTTTGCTAGTGAGATTCGCATTATTTTTAAATACGTATGTCACCACTGTGAAACTTTTACAACAAATGCACACTCTATCGCAAGCGCAAACATTTAATGAATTAATCGGGTTGAAATAAAATCATTAAGTACCAGGCCGACGGGCGACTAATCCTCAATTGAGCCTCCCAGATCTGTGGTACGAGATGCGACGCTTTCATCCCAGGTGCTTGGTCCTCCGCTCTTTCGCCTCCCTGTCCTCATTCGAACCCCTCTGTGTATAAATGTACAACTCTGACTGCACTGTCTGTACGTGTAGGGTGAAAGAGTGAGTGAGTGGGTCAACTTGGTCGCCTGACGCCCTAGCTGCTCGCTGTGAGAGCGGCAGCTCAGCGCCCACGGCTACAGGGCGGCGAGAGACGCGAGATGGCCCGAGGCCGTTCGCGAGGCCGCCGCTGACGCTGCCACCGGCTCTGCAGGGCGCAGGGCCCCGAGCCAGCACCAGTTCCAGTTCCAGACCAGGAGGCAGGTGGCCAGGGAGGGCCAAAGAGGCTAAGCCACCCAGCCTTATCAGTGAGTGCAGCGGGCAGGCGGACGAACGGGCGTTGCATTTGTGTATTGCAACAACGCACGATCAGTGCACTACGGTGTGGTGTGTGCACGCCGTAAGCCTCCAAAAATCGTTAGCGGGCGCACAGAACCAAACGTAGTGCATAGACAAGTTTCACTGCCATAGCAGGCAGGCGATATAGCGACTTAACCAGCCCAGCTACCACTGCACTGCCATATTCTTTTACTAGGTATGATGATCAAACCAGTGAGCCAGTCTAGCAGTATATCGTGTGACCCCCGCTAAAGGGCTCTGCGACTGCAAATCAAAGCTCTCCATACGGCGAACGTCGTTATTTGCACATCGTTGAATGTGAACACATGTTGCTCAATAGATAATAAACAAGGAAGGAAATCCGCGAGTGCAAAGTCTCGCGCTATTCGGCAGAAATGGTGCAGTGCATTCGTCAGTCACAGTCAGCGTAGAAGAAGAGATCACACTGCCTATTAGGTCCAAGGAATGGTGTTGACTTAACTGAGATAGAAAGTGGAGAGGAAAAAAGGCAGATGCTCGAGAATGTTATAACCATTCATTCCCATTTACTTCTATTTGCTGGAGTTGCTGGGTTAAAAAAGGCCAACAATATTCGGTGTTTCGTACGAAATTTGAAGTGAAATGCAAAAAAAGAAATGCACGAACGGTGACTAAAGTGCTAGTCGATTTGCGAAGGGTTAAAAATCTCACTGCCAAAAATCTACGGCAAAACCTGCCCAAAGCGTGGAAGCTAGACACTCGAGACAATAAACAAGAAAGCATTATACTAAAACGAAAGGTGTCAACCAACGAACATACCGTGACCTCCGTGATCCTGAGGTCTTGCTCAAGTACAATTAGAAATAACAAGGCTGGCTTGATTATGCTCCAATCGACGTACTACTGCAGGAATAGAAATCAAATCACTTCTATCCGACAAGGTTTTTCTTCATTGGATACGTTAATCGTCAAAAAAAAATAAGAAGAGTAGATAACAGACGTCACCCAACCATTTGCCCTCCTGTTGTTGTTAATATTATTGGATCTTATTATTGCAAGTACTTGTAGTAAAAATCAAATAGATTGCTTAATTCTTATTATTAAGAAAAAAAATAAGGTGCACAATGACGTACCAGCACATCCTGCGCTCGTTTCCTCGCTTGCCTGGTGAGGTTCTCTTAGAGTTCGAATTGCCGTTGCCTCGAAACCTTACTTGCGTGATTTGTCAATCCGTTTCCCCGGTTCTCTTCAGGTGAGTATCTACAAGAATGAAAACTCGCCTCCCCTTTCTACTTTGAATGAATCTGTTTTGAAAAAGCATATAGACCATAAATAACGTTTAGTAACCTCAAATTAATTATGCGCATGTTTTGAACAAAGAGTTTGTTGATCACCGAAGGTCTCCTTAAAAAAGGATTAAGTGCATTGCCATTACTTAGTTTGTGTCCCACAACTGCGCGTAATAGGAACGACACAAAAAACATGGATAACACAAGAGCACACGATTAAGGAATCTCTTCTAAAAAATAAATAAAAAGTGATCCCTAACTATGAAAATTGTGAGCGACTTTTGTGCAGTAGCCAAATTTTAAATCCTCAATCCATGCGATTAAAAAATATTACACGTAGAGATAGAAAAATATTTGTGTATTTTAATGCTAAATTATTCAACATCTCTGCTACTGTAATACTTGTTGTAGATCTTTTAGGAAATCCAATTCATCAGTGCCACTTTTGCAGTTTTCTAGGAATCTTAATGGTTTCAGGTGTTTTGAGATTTATATATTTTTTTCTTGGGCCGCTGAATATTAAAAGGGTTTAGTTTGTTTTTGAAGGAAACGTATTACTTTGCTAAATAGTATTTATAGGCGAAGACCTATTCTAAATCAATATTTAATTCGGTTAGTAGTTTAAAAAATGTATAATTTGATATATCTACATCTTTGTGAGGAATTTTTTTGTTGTTGCGATGCTCGCTCGTATAAGGCATAGGCACCTATTGCATATAGTTCTAGTAATATGTTTACCCTATCAGGCAAATCACGTAAGTACCGGAAAGAGCAGAGAAATTGAGGTCCATCGTTAAAAACGTGCGCTCCCAATTTTTGTAGGATTAAAACAAATGGCAATAAGACATTTTTAACAGGTTACAGAGTAGAAATATCACGGAATTTACTATACTCACTTTTCTCATTAAATACAATGGAGCAGCAGAACTGGTTAATAGGCTCGCTTAAAAACGGCTTAAACGAAATGACTAAACTACCTATTATATGTTTTAGAGGTGAATTAGTGCATTTTGGTAACTTCACCAGGTTTTGCCAGAGATGGAAAAACTAGCTTGTTTTTTGCGAAATGGCATCTAAAATTCTGGGCTTTACCAACACTCGATAAATTTCTAGTATCTTGACAAATTAAAACCAAAGATGCTGAGTGTTTGATTCTAGTGCATTTCGCAACATTATTGATCAGTATTATACCGCTAAGTTGATACCGATGTAAGTGTAGTTTCCATGGAAAGTTAAGGTGTGACGTTTACGTTTTGTCACCCAGTTTTGCAATATTATACGCAATGCAACAGAATATTAAACAATGGCGTAAACCGTACATGAAAAATTCCTATATTCTTTTTTGGTTGATTCCATCTCTGTTTGTAGTCTAGACGCGTGCATTTGTGCAAATCTTTAGCGCATTTTAACCCCTGCTTCAGTATATTTAGTATCTTATGACATAGTCAAATGAATGAACAACGAACCTATGATGTTTTACATTATAGAGCTGGATGTTCCCACAGTTTTTGTGGCCAATGCCGCCTTCAACTCCTACCATCAAATCGTACGATGTTTCTTTGTCCAATAGACGGAATAGAAAGCTGGGCGGAGAAAATGTACAAGGATCTCAACGTATGGAACATTGTGAAAGATTTTCGGTATGTATTCGCTGCTTTTTATTATTTGTTCTGCATACATATACATGAAAACATATACATATCAATATTAATTCCAAAACTATTTTCTAGCTTTACTTAAAGCATTCCCTCTTCGTAACGATTAGAAGCAATTCCGCTTTTCAAAGACATGACTAATTATCGGGTGAGAGAAAGGTGTCATGCAGTCATGGGAAAATAAAATCAACAAAAGAAGGTATTTAAATTAGTTTTTAATTTTCAATGTTCGATTTGAGCCCTCTGTGTAAGTTCCTCTATCAAGTATTACCCATCATTAATTATATTTATGTAAGCAACTGAAGTGCTGCACATATTTTCTCATACTGCGTGTTTTCGTATAAGGCGGTAGTGGAAATCGATAAACTTGGCACTGTTGCCACTCATATGGGCGTCCACGTAATTTGCTTTTATTCTTTACAAAGAGAAAACCATGTGCTTCTGCTTTTGAAGTTTAATGCTAGTTAAAAATCATATACTCAGACTCTTTGCGAATATTTTCGGTAAGGGTTTCAACAGACTTCAGATAAGGGAGTTTCATGAATTTGTAACGCAACGGAATTTATGAAGATAGGGTCAGTTGATTCGCAACAAAATTAAAAAGAAATAGCGTATAACTAACCAGGACGACTCTCTAAGACTACACGTAATTAGAGTAGCAACCAAGCTGCATTCATATATAACAATCATTGTTTAAAGCATACATCTAATCGTAAATGGCATGCGATCAATAAGGCAGATCTTACATTGATTGTAAAACCTGAATTTAGCGTACTTAATTTTCAACGAAAAAACATACCCCATAATGTAGGTCAGCTGGTGCGGACTAATATAAAATAACACTATAAATGAAAGTAATTGTTTTCGATAGGGTGCGATGCAACTATTCGGCACTCGGTTGTGGATTCCTGGATACGCTTGAGGAGTTCGCTGCGGTGAGTTCATAACCTTTTATTTATTTCAATTAAACATTTAATTTAAATTTGTAACATTTAAAATACTTGATTACATGAAAATGTAGTTTCTCTTTTATGTCTATGAATCTGTGATTAACTCTGCGATGAACCAACAGATTTAGTACTCAAACATTTTTTTCAGTGCTGCTTTTGATAGAGGACGTCTAATTTTTTTATAATTATTTCTTTATAAATTGAAATTAGAAAATATCTGTGGTTGAGTGTTTTTCACTAGTTTAGTAAGTATAGTAACGGAGGAGTACATACGCATATTTACATTTACATACATACATTTAGCATAACCGTTTATTGTCTTGGACAACCAGTCTATTCTTTGCGATACAACTCTCTCGCCTAAAACAAAAATTTGTGGTGTATAGGTTTTATCTTAAGCGATTCCAAATAATATAATAGATTTTCTGAAAAAAATATTTTTTACCTATATCATATTTTTCTTGAGTTTGAGAGAGCTTTATTACATCGTTTTCATTCATTTTTAGTCTTATAGTAAGCTTTACACGAAGTGTGGAAATACTAAAAGAAGCTTCTAGATTGGAAGAATTGAACATTTATGAGTTTTGTAGGTAGTGATATATCGAATATATAAATATATTAGAAGGTAAAAAAAACTCAATGTGTTGTCTTGATTAGCGAGCGAACTGTATACACATTTTTTTAAGCGGCCTTTTAGGTACAACGTGCGTGACTGTGGCTTTCAATTTTTGTAACAACGATTAAGCGGCCTTTTATGTATCATATGCGTAACTGTGGCGTTCAATTTTTATAAGAATGATAGGCAAGAATAAATGTAATTTCATTTATTTGATAGGCAACTTTAAGATCTAACAAATTAGCATCGAATCGTAGTAGTAATCCTGGACATAAGTATAATAATTTAGAACGCATAAATAGTTCTTTTTTACAAACAAGTGCATAAGTATACATTATTCCAGATTATAACAGGTTTGTACCATTTTAGCGTCTTATTTTTAGCTGAATTTAATTTTTTTAGTTACTGAATCAGAAAGGACGACCCTTCATCTAATAAAATTGTATATGTGCAGATCATTTTGTGAGAGCATTTTTGCGTATAAACTGAAGCAAGGAAGTCAAAAAAATTTACTTTTCAGGTCATATCTTTTAAGGACATATATGACGGGAGCGCACTGAGAAGCTAAAAATTTAGCTTATATTCACGTTTACGTATCTAAATTCAGCAGCATATGGATGGGAACAAGTTGCCTCAGAAAAAAACACTACACATCTTTTTTTTTAGATGAAGAACCAGACACACGTGTTTTGATTGGACTAGTTTTATGGTATGCGTTATTTCCCTCGAATCGCTTTATTCGTGCTTTTTTAAATTCATTTTATATTCCACGCTGAAGAAAAATAACAATAGCAACCAATAGTACCTTAGGTTCGAAAGTTCCTTTTACCCTTGTTATGCCAAATCTAGGTGCTCTCCATGAAGTGGAAAGTCCTCGTTGTCGCTTTATATGTTAAAGTGGTCATTCTAAAATTGCTGGTATCAAAGTTCTGTCACTTCAATCGAATGTTCCTGCGAACAAGAGGTTGCTTTTAAAAAACAAAAAATCTGAAAGATTGGTTATAAACTTCTACCCACTTGTCCTAAAAAACTGATGTCATCAATCAAAGCGCGATGTGCATATATTATGATTGAACTCTAAATACTTCAAAAATGCAATACGAAAAATCTTAATTTTCAATCAAAATTTAAATGCCATGTAATACAATGAGTTAGACGATTTTGATCAACGTTTAATTGTTCACTACATTAGGATCTACTAATACTTTTAGAAGGACTAATTGAAAAACAAGGACTCTACATTGAAAGATTACAGAGCAGCTTTTCAGCTTTATTAAGGTAGCTTGTTGGAAGCGATTCTGTGGAAAAATAAGAGAAAGAAACGATTTCTGATTATTAAGGTGACCGAAAATCGGATGCGAAAATTGTAAAAAAAAAAAGAGAAAATAATATACTGTACATACATGGAATCACAGCGTATTAGAAAAAACTAGAAAATTAAATCCTTCAAAAACAACGTTTCGCTTGATTTTTTCATAAGTCGCCGCTAAGGGAATGGACGGGCAGAATCGGTAGACTTTAGGAGTTTTTCGTGTTTGATCATGTGTGAATTTCAGGGTCATCCATGGAAATTATCGAATATATTGGAGTTGGAACTCAAGTGTCTTACTGCCACCACATGTGTATATACGGACATAAAATAATTAAGGTGTAGAATGATCTTACTGTGTGACTTCGTCAACTCAAACATTTTATAATAATAGGCTATCCTATGAAGTTTGCACCTTAGTGCAATAAGCAGTAAAGCTAACAAGACATGTTAGACCATGTGACAGGACTCTATGATGCAAATCTTATAAAGCGGTCCCAAGCAAAAAAGGCGCAATATTTTTTCATGCGTAAATAAGGAAAGCTTTAGATTAAACTATTTACGATTTTTTTTTATTATGACTTTTTAAAAAAAGTATATATAATAATCTTTTATAGTAACTGATTACAGATAACAAATATTGTTTGATACTGATTTCGATCATTTCGCATTTCCATGATTTGACAGAATCATCAGTCAAGCTGCCCGTATCATAAAAAGACATGTCCGCTCTGTCAGGAAGAATGCCTTTCGAAAGACCTATTCGACCATCTGGGTTCAAAATGCGCTAAACGGCCACTAAGTTGCCCACTATGTACTTTTAATTTTCACAGGTAAACAATCAAGGGTTATGCAAATTTCTATTTTTTCCTACATTTTCGCTTTGTAATATTTTCAAGTCGACCCACTATATTGTAGCTACGGGTGGTCTGTAGTTAATATCACTTATTTTTTACCAAAAAGACAGCGCAACCAATTTATGAATGCTTTCCGTTTTAGAGAACTTTTGCAGGAACATATGAACGAGTGCCCTATGCGAAAGATTGACTGCGAATACTGCCATGTAAAGGATGTACTTGCTAAAGACGTAAGTGCCTGTCTTTGCAAACAGCGCTCTCAGTAGAACTGCAACTTCGTACATGTAAAATTAAGGTAGCTTAAAAATACCACCAAAACGTTTAAACTAATAGGACAAATTCTTAATACTCTCATGTAATTAGAGCCCGTTTGTAATTACAAATATAAAGATAAAAAGGTGGATCAACATGAACTCACGACATGCGATGTTTATTTTAGATGGATGCTCACCTAGATGCCTGTACACTCAGGCCCTGGTCCTGCACGTTATCCGAGTTCGGATGCCCATTTAAAGGAACCTGCAAAGAGCTTCTTGAACATCTTACGTTTGAGGACCACGTAAGTTGTTACGCTATATCCTATATAAAACTAAATAGTGTCTACACAGCTTCGCATCTATGTAATTCTCTTAGTGCCTGCCAATCTATTAAGATTCAACGAAAATACCTTCTGTAACAACATTAAATTAACTATGAAAGTATGCAAAAACCTATACGCATTAAGAACAAAAAGTTAAGCGAAGAGGTGTACAAAAGTGCTAGAGAGCACTGTACTACCATGGAATTGATGCGGTACCGCTTGCCTCTGTAATTTTAGTTTAGCAATATCTGGTCGGTAATATAATGGATTTTCATATGGCAAACCTAACATGTATCGACATTAGTAAGATCTTACGGCAGAAACGTTCGAATAAAATATTTGACAATATTATACAGTTTGAGTGAAAAAGTTACGTTGGCAACCGTAACATGACATGTCGCAGTTATCTAAAGGACAAATAATTGGCCCACGGGCCTGATATCTGTAGCCTATTCTTGCAAGCGGGCAATATCCATTTCTTGATATTCCTTATTATGATATATTATATCATAATAATTTATATTATAAAATATATTATAATAACGAAAAACAAAAGTTTCGTTAACTTTCGTCTTTAGCGCGAAGTATGAATGTATATGCCTCGTTGCACAGTTTACCGGAAGTCTATTATCTAATTGGTCACAGCATCACTGTCAATACTCAAAAGACTGGCAAATGTGCAATGTACTTCTTCTCTATGAGGAATATTTTTGGTATTACGACTTGCTTCATTAACCGAATTCTATATGAGCTAATGTATATATATGGGTATCTAGAAGTAAAATATAAGAAATTAATATTTAATCTTGTTAAATTTATTATCTACATGAAGCCCTATCGAAAGCGAAAGAAGCGAAAGGCCACTAAATTAATTTGGGGGGTCAAGATATCGCTAACGTAAAATACGCCAAGTTTATGCTAACGCTCATTTTATGCCAGGTTCAATGTAGATGCACCCAGTATTGCTTCATTTGTTCCGAAAAGAATTTACTGATACCCAAAACGCAAAAGCTAAACTGTCAAGAGCATGATTAATTTGAAGGGTGTTAATCTTTTTCCGCAGGTCACCCTAATTAACCAGAGGTTCCGAGACATCGCTATGACAAACCGAGATCAGCAGGAGGAGATCGCGCACTTGAATGTACAGTTAGATCAGTTAACCAATATTGTTAAGGTAAGCATATTAGCAGCAAGAGACAATGCAAGAGACCGAGACGTCTAAATTAAAAACTAAGTTTTTTTTTCATTTAAAAATTAACCTAATTAACAAGTGCCACAGAAAGTTTTTGGTGATTGTTGGCGCGTGAAACATAGCTTTTTAAAGTTGCGCGCATCTGATTTTTTTATACAACAAAAATAGTCGGCAGAAGCACGTCTCCGTTAGCGGATACGAAACGAATAACCTCCATGTCATCAAAAAAAAGTCATCCTAATGTCATCCTAAAAAGTATGGCATTTTCTATTTAATTATCGAAAACGTTTTGCTGATTCTAGAATAGATAGTAGTCGAAAAATGCAACATAGTTGAATATGATGAGTACATAATAAATTCCTACTGGCGCAGTGTAGTAGCGTCTCGGGCCACCTAAGCTTTGCCCTATAGAACGATAACGTCTGTCTCTGTAGTTAACATATATCTGTGTTAGTTTATTGCTGTAGGTGCGTTTGAGAGGGTGTACCCTTTGTTACACAATATTATTGATGCGTTTGATCGTCAAACCAAACGTATTCGTCCCCTGTGGTAATTCTATATAACATTAAACGTCGGGACCGAAGCAACGAAATGCAAGCTGCCAACTTTTGGAGGTCAGCTAATGTAGAATCCACTTTTCACCCTTGCATACTTTACCCATAGAGTGCAAAAGACTCGTTCTGATGGACTCTAATACACCTCCTCGAGCTGCAGGGGTAACTTTAATGAAAGGATACTCTTCAAGATTGATTCCGGCTTGCCGTTGTACTCTAAGCAAAATTTCTTCATCAACAAATTTATAATGTAAATTGATATATTTGTATCTCTAAATTTAATACGAACTCCAATAAAAGTATTTCCTAAATTTGAACTTGAGTTCTCATAAATTTGCTCACAAAAGGGGTTCATTGTTTATTTCCACAAGATAACTAACAAATCACCCGCTTTTGCTGTGATTTCGTCCAGGAAAGCGCTTCAATTACGGCAAATAATCCTGCTTTCCTCACTAACATTTCTTGGTGACGCCAAAATATGCTGTCAAACCACCAAAAACGAGCTGTTTTACCTATATATCGAATAATTTATCTGTCCGATCTAGTTTTAATTATTTTAATTTTTTTTATTAGGTTTTTGTATATGCGTGTCACTGAAGATATGGGAGGAAATCGATGTGCGAAAACGTAGAACGACGACATGCTCTAGCGGCCAAGTATCATAAAGTGTTTCCACTTGAGAGGCTTAATATCGACTCATTGTTAGGTCCTGACCATACTAGAGGCAAACGAACAAATTTAAGGGCAAGTATTCGCTAAAATCGAGACATAACTTTCAAATTATAAAATGCCTCTCTATCGGATGCGTTTGCATAAATGATTAATTCTATCAAGCAAAAACTAAAGTCTATTGTAATCACAGTGGAAGTTTGTAAGGAATATACAGGTAAACATATACAGTATCGAAGAGATGTTTCTAGTCATGTTCGATTATTGGAGGGTTCATTATCGGAAACCAAAACGATATTTAGTCTTACCGCAGATATGATGACTGTCATATGTGTTCAAGGACGTTCTCCCGCTAAATAAACTGTCGTGCTAAAGATAGGAGGAATGTACGCACCAATGAAGAATCAATTTTATTAAGCCCTGTTAAGATGCAAAAATTACACTATCGAATTATTGCTATGAAGACCATAAGCAATCGACACAAAAGCATGATCCATAATAATAGTCTCGTTTGTTTCGGTGACACCCAACACAGACAACGTAGAGTAAAAGGTGACCAAAAAATGGCGCAACAGAAGACTTACAGGTATAGCACCGTACGCAAAGCCCAAAGCAAAAGCAAAATAATAATGTAAACAGCGATTAGTCATTGTGGGTATCACTGTGGATTTTCATCCGTGTGTGTCAATTCCAAATGTGTTTTTAACATCAGTTAATGAACCTAAGCGTAAATATGTCATTACCGCATTAAGCCAATGTTCACAACAGTTGTTTTCAAAGAAAAAAAAACTCCGTACCGAAATTGTTATTAGTTAGATTATTAGTTATAGATGCGCTATTAAAGATCGAAGGGCAAAGTTTTTACGTGTTTCGAAGCTAGTTACTTTCACTTATTTTAATACATCGGTTAGGTATTGATAGCATCCTTCTTTAGTGGGAATATCTCTTGATATAGAAAGGGATTCACAAGAAGTATATAAAAAAAAAGTTTATTAATACTTTTTTTTACAATACTTCTTAATTTAATAACTTAAAAGTGTTAAATACACTTTCAAGGCTCATAGGCCTTAGCCAGATGTCTCTCGCGCAAGAATTGTTACGGTGATCTATAGGGGTAGTAAGTAAAACTGATTTGCTTAAAATAATTCTAAAGAGTGTTGAATGTGCAGAGCACGAAATTCTATTCTGGTTTTTGCTAGTACACCCCCTATAAGAAGTCCATTTAAGATATTATCACTTCCATTTCTTAGTTCCTTCGCTGTTTATACAAATATATCAATAGACAGTGCTTTCTTCTATTAGCTGTTTTCACCGTTTTTTCGGATAATGGATCGCTATTTTGTGTTCAGGCTCTAATGGTAAATGTTTCAAGAAGCAAAAACAGCATTTTGTTCACAGTTGCCAAATTTTAGAACTAATCGCTCAATTTAATAGTCAAATATGACTCAATTACCAATGTAAGCAAGCGCCGTTAAGAAGGTATGGTTACTATTCATGTTCCCTTGTTCCTATACATGAGCTTTATTTGCGAACACTTTGTGGTTCTTTGTGATATTACTAGACTGTACGGTCGCGGCGTCCTAATTATAATATTCGTCTTCAAGATGAGCCTTTTTTTCTAAGAGCAAATAACCTGTTTTTCTAGGAATTGTTCTTTCATGCGCTGCATTATTTTTCTAGCCTATTGCTACACTGAAACAGTGACTTTTTTCTGGGCGACGATGCCAATTTATTTCGCTACCAGTACAGTGCGCTTTACGTAGAGATTATTCACCTTGTGAGTGGAAGCTCGCACGACATAACTGCAGCATTGTATACCAATGTTCTGCGTCGTGTCATACGATACACATCGTATCTTATCCAGGCAACAGCGAAAATGAAATTTACTTGCCAAGCGCCTTAAACATCATTACTAGATAAATCATGGCAATCCTCATACTCAAAATGAAGTAGAGAATCGTACCTTAACCAATTATATACTTGAATAATAGCTATACTTATCCATAAAGTAGGTCATTATTAAAAAGTTATAATAAACTTCTTAATAATAACCTACTTTTTATTTAAAAATATAATAATATTTTCAAAAAGTAGGTTTCCATAAACCTTTTTTTTAAAAAGCTTTGATAGATTACTTTCATTTATTTTCAGTTAACAAGCTTAAGCAGGGAAGTTTTGCGTTCAAAACCAAAGTCTTGAGAGGTCAGGAGAAAAAGCATTGCTGAGAGCTTATTTTTATACGGTATTTGTCTACGTAATGTAGTATACTGCTGTGCAAATAAAAAAAGAGTCCGGTTGCTAACCGTAATAAATAGCTGAACTTCAGCAGAACTTCTGTTCCTTCATGTGATTACGTTTAACACTAAGTTAGATCTTAAAAATATGCCCGTGCCTTAGTATATAAATGGTCGCTTCTTACTTTTGACACCTTATGATCGAAAAGTTATTGCTCACAAACATGACTAAGGCATAATTATAGAGCAGACACTGTGATGGTGTGTAGCACCTATATGTATTAAAATAAGAAAATTGCAATAACCTCAGTAATAGTTCATGGTGTGTATAAATGGGATTAACCTTTGCTAGTAGTTAAATGCAAATATCTTTTATAAAGGGAAAATGAGCCGCGTATACAAACGTCTATTTATAATACTAAGCATGATATATTTAAGTATTTATTGGTTTTATTAATTCTTTTTAGGATGGCAACCGTCGAGTGGCGACGGCTTTACGGTCAATAGCGTGCGCGCTGAACATGCATAAAGAAGAGAACCGGAAGTTAAAGGATAGACTCGACGAGATGATAATTATTATTGGACGCAACACTCAACAACTACATCAGCAGGCCTCACGTAGGGTACGCATCTAACGTTAAATTCGTGAAGATTAACGATTTAACAATTCGGGCCTGCCCAATCGTCGCGTGTGAACAAACGATAAAGTCGGTCGGCTCGACGTGCATTGGTTAGTTCAGTCAGTTGATGATACCATACAACTCACTAACATAATGAGTAGGGAATGTCGGTTAATTGATGAGTATCTTTTAAACGTGAGACTATCAATGTTGATTTTTATCGTTTGTTATTCCTGTTTTGAATGTTTTTGGACTCTAAAATACGTTGCTATGGTTGGCAACGACTTCATGTTTTTAGGATGGTCGGCATCCGTGCTACGTGGAGGTGACGACATCGCGGCCTTCATCAGGAGCCGAGCGAGGTGATTATCGGGTCTACCACAAGAACTGACAAATAAGATGGCAATAAGTGTAGTGCGAGTAGGGAGCCAACAGAGGGACAAGCGCAGACATCGGAAAAAAGCGTGCCAACAACAGAAATGGCATCAAGCAGCAAAAATAGAGGCGATGATAGTCATAAGGATAACCACAATAACGGCAACAACAGGACCAACAGGAGCCGCCAGATATAAGCCAGTCATTGTACTAACGACAGACCAATTGCCAACGATATATGATAAGAAAAAAATAAACTTAAGAATTGGTGACATATAACTTTTTTGGTTCACACAGATTGCTTATTTGGGTTCTTGACGAAACTAGAAGCAATGATGCCTAAATTCGTTCAACCAGAGACTTGGTCGTGCAAGCCATTGCATCAACCGCGGTAGTAATGTATTATAACTAATTTCGGCAAAAGATATGACCAATCATCATTAAAATATCAAATATAAGTTTTCGATTTTCTCGAGTTTGATGGGGTAATAGTATTGTATTAATCAAAACAGCCACATTCGACCAAAGGGACTAGTCTTTGAGCATGGAATAAAAGAAAAAGCATAAATTAAAATAAGGTACAAATTATCTAATTGAAACACAAACTCATTGAACATTTGTAATATGTTAGGTGGAGTATGATTTTTTAATACATTAAGATTACAAGCAGCAGAAAAACAGCATGTATGAAAGATCGATAAATATATAAAAACATCAATCTATTATTCCACCAAAGGACGAAAGGTCAGGTTATCCATACATGGTGAAACAAATTTAACTGGTCGTAAAAATTCCACTTGGTTAGGTATACACGACATTAAGATCACATTACAAGCTATAGATCTTGCTATCATGCTTTAAATATAACTTTATCTATGGGTTCTTCCCATGACCCAAATGAAAACGACACCAGGTAGATGTCATTGCCAAAATATGGTCTTTTAGTAAGTAAAATAAATGGGTCTGTTTTACGTAGACCTTGCTCTTCAAGCAACAATAAAAGGCAACACCTGCTCGTATAGCTTCATAGGTGAGGTGGCCGTGGAACGGATTTTCGAACAGAAAGAAAATCACTCATAGCTTAAAAAATGTTTCGTTTGTAGAAAAGCTTGATCTTCGAAAACTCAAATATTACTAGTCTATTATCCAAAAATGTATTCTTTTCTTGCGTTTCTTACCCACGTGCAATCAAATTAGACAACTTGCTTCAAGCGTCAAAATTTACAGATTTCATCATATTAAATCACTGTATGCGGGAGAACTACTGTGAGATGAAGACAACGGATTGTGAACAACTTATAAGAAGTAGACCAAGAAGAAGAAGACCAGTTGAATTCTACGAAATAAGAGGGCTGAGTTAACACAGCAATTGCTGCTAAACAATATTTTAGTTTTATGCAGTTGTTATCATTATTTTTTTAATGGTTAAAGGGAAGTGGATTTCCCTTCTATTGGAAATTAAGGCACTTCTACTGGTGAAACGAGTGGCAAATATGAAAGATAAAAGATGTCATAAAAGGAGAAGTAGATCGAATAAAGACAGAACATCAGATGTGTCCTTGTTGTTGGCTGTGTGGTTTGTGATCCATTGTCGTCGGATTTGGTTACTTACCACGCGCACCTTTACTTATCGTCCACCACTCTGGCCCCAACTCATACACTCGTTGCCATCATTCTAATTTAATAAATAATAAGGGTAATACTTAGTAAATGATGCTAAATAACCACAATACACACATCACTCATAATAACAAAAAATGAAATTAATGGGAATCTAACTCAAGAATCAAACTAGCAACAAATTCCGAAACAAGAAATTACTGGAACTATGCAGATCAACACACAAATGCAGAAACGGGGGGAGATAATACCACATAATAACGTGCTATTAAGAATAATAACCTTCACGAATAGTGGTAATACGTAAACAAATATGATTAGTTCCACTCAAAAGTAATGGAAATTTGAGGTGCTTTGCACAAATGGACAGAATCATCCACAAAGACCGCCATTTTTAGAATACATAGCTGAAACAGATTTTAGGAGAAGATTAACAATAGATTCACTGAATCCCAGTGTAGCCTACCTTGGCTGACCTTAACGCCTACCGTTATTAAAACCGTTTAGGTTGCACTCAGAAAACCTTAGAATACTATGCCCTTCAATTTGTAGGATTATATGGTGTATAGTGCATCACTCTCAGGTCCCTCTCACCTTAAAATGGAACCTAACTATGTAAATGTTTGAGATGTTGATATCTGAAGTCTAGTAGTTTATTTTATTGCGTTCCCTGATATTAAGACAAACCAGTATGGAGCCGATTTCGCCAATTTCTGTCTCGGACTGTGTGCTACAATACAGGCTAAACAGATACAATTTATCTTTGTGTTAAAGCAATAACGTGAAGCCTTTTCTGAAAATAAGATAATCGAAGAAATCTACCTGGAATGAGCACAGGCTATAGAACAGACAACGGCTAGAAATTAAAAAGAAAAGTCTTAAACCGCGATTTTAGTTATTTAACAACAGAAACTAGACGGAGTAGCATACACTCGCTTTTTGAGACGGTGCTTAGACAGAATCACTTAATAGATGTATTCCCGGGTCATAAGGCATCCTGTAGTCCGAAACTTCAGGTAGTATGCCAACACAATCTAGGCCGAAAGGATCGATAGGCTGCAGCTGCTTCATTCCCAAAAATTTTGAGCCTGATCAATTAGCTTCAGATTATAGTAACTAATATTTATTTTACAAGCTCTATTTTTTAAAAATATATGTGCAACTTACCATGCAGTTAGAACAAAATTAGCTATGTAGTTTATACATAAAAAACTAAGAGAGATGAACAGATCATCTAAACTGCGTGGTTGCACGGGGTTCTTTTTATTTGACAGAGACAGATTTCTACCTTAATTGTAATCAGTATTTGGGTTCGTTCAGCAAATACCTTTTTTTATAGTCAATCGACGGATTTTGTATCTCGCTTCAATGACGGCAGCTTAATAAACAGGTCAAACTCTATCCAAAAACGATTAGTGTTCCATACCAGAGGTTCTAAAATTTTGTTAGAAATGAGAGGAAAAATCATGAATAGCCGATGGTCAAAATATAACTGTTAAGCACCAGGCCTGCATCGCTCATAGATCCCGCCACTTGGATCAGGTCGGGGAATATAACTTTGGACATACTGTAATAATTAAACCATTAGTATCTGAATGATATATTGTTAATGCCAGACCACAACCTAACCTGGGTGAACCAATTGACGACGTTCAATATTCTATGCTACAGTACATCTGCCTCGTGCTATTGGAAATGAATATTAGTCTCGTTTCCTATATACACACAGACACACACACAAATGATGCATAGTGACAGAAACTTGTGAGGCGATATGAATGGTGAATGACTATAATGATGATATGTGAGAATTAATGAAGGATGAAAAATGTGAGAAAGAGATATCAGTGGACAGGCCATCCAAAACTACGCATTGAATAAATGAGCTACGCAACGATCGATTGATAGGGTGATGAATAAACAAATAGAGCTTGGTGAAAATAATGACAAATTGGCCAGTTTGGCACTTCTTAGTGAGTGAAAATAGTCGACACTGCTAGCCAGCAGAATGGCACCGCTTTGCAGTGCAGATATTAGTATCTGATTTGAAGGCAAGAAAAAGCATTAACCAACAGAGTTCTTGGAAAAGTTTCACAGATATGATGAAAAGCGATACATATGCCGATGAGTGCTAACGGTTGCTGAACTGGAGTTATCGAAAGCAACCTTTCTGGCCCTATGCACAACAACCGAACAGTTAGTCCTTTACTAATCCAAAGCAAGGACAGACTAAGAGCATATTTACCGAAACTGGATGCATGAATCAATATGACAAAACGGTGCGCCAAAGTGAATTAATATGCTTGGAAACGAAAATATGTAGAGAAAGACGCATAGCATTGTCTTGTTCTGAATTGGGTTACCTTATGAGTGAAGGCATACCCATTACACCCCTTGTGGTAAGATTACAGGTGCGGCCTAGTGGGATGCCGATGTAATCTCCGCTGCGTGGTACGACAGAAGAAATCGTTAGATTTAATTTGGAACTAAGTAATCTTGTATGTTCTTGACGTTACAAGAAGAAGCGGATGAGTTTATGAGGAATATCGAAGAATGCTCGAGGCTACTGAGGTGTCGAAGCGCGAATGTAATTAAGCAGGAAACGTCAAACCGACAAAGCTATAGCAAAACACGTTTAAAATGAATAAAGATTAAATAAAACTGAGTTGCTGTTCTTGTAAGACGATTCAAACAAAAAATAAACTGAGCCAGTTTGACATTGTGCCCACGAAAAGCTGGGGCTGCGAAGCCAAGTTGCACCATTGCAAAAAAAGGAACCCTGCAAACTGTCGATTCACTGTTTGTTTGTAAATAAAGATATACGAGTTGTTACCATGGCAAGCATGATTTTTTATTCCATTATCAAATTATTATCATATGGAGCAACCTCACACTTTGCGTGATGAACTGGCTTAACCTAACTCAAATCGCATTAGGTTATGTAGCTTAACAGACTACGAAGTTTGCCTGTAGCTCACATAAATTTCGAATTCTCACCTAATCTGCGACGATTTCGGCACAATGCCAACAAGTTTGCAAATGGCATATTTAGACGTCTAGACACCAATCTAACACAGTTTATTGTAGTAGTTTCCATAAATACCGAACAGCTTTACGGTTCACTAAATATACATTTTACAAACGTCGACCTCCGATGATGAAAGTTGATTTTTTAAAACTATGAGGACATATTGGAGAATTTTGTGATAGGAAAAAGTTCAAAGATATACTACCATCTGCGCTCGATCTTGACACCAAACAGTAGTTCCATAATCCTTACCCTATTGCTGGTTAATTTAATAGATACTTCGAAATCATTGGCCCGACCACTGTTGTTCCTTGATATTTATAGTGGCGTTCGGGGAGAGATAACATCGATTTGGTAGCCAAATGTGGTATCGTTCAAACTAAATTGTATCAGTACGCTCAAGATGCAGATGGTCTTCGAGAACACGAAAACCACAATGCTGCTAATGTTCAAATGCTAAAGGATACCGCTTTATCATTTGCTCATCCTCTATCCAGTCTAATTAACTTATCCATTGACACAAGCCCCTTTTCTACCGGATTGAACAAAATAAAAATTGTACTCTTGTTTTAAAACAAGTTAGAAGGTACCCAGACTGCTGACCACCATTCAATCTTTGATTTACTGCTTGTCCAAAATTTTCGAAACGCTTATGATTAGTAGGTTAGACAGACATCTTGAAAGTGCTAGACTTGCTCACATGGTGAATTTGACACTCGGAAGACATAATTAGCGTCGGCACACCTTCGGTAGAAAAGCGTTAGCGCGATTGAAAACAGATAAGTTGTTGTGACTATTTTCAACTGCTCAAATTCCTACATATCTCTTCTTCCTACAATCCACCCGATCTTCCTGCAAATTTTAGAACGTCTGGCGCGTCAATCATTATCGACTGATTCAAGTCGTACCTTTCTGGGAGATGACGTCCAGAAAGAAAGTCAATATTGGAACACCGTAAAATTTGGTTCTCGAGTCCTATATGTTTATCATATTAATAAATCGCATTTTTCCAAAAATCTCAGTGAATGGCATGTGTAAAAGAATCGCTTGTGTCGATGAAATGTGTCAATCCTACCAGGGTCGTTGATGATGAAACGTTCAAAATATTTGTTTCCGTTGTTAATGCCGGACTGGGGAATTAGAACTGTTAAGTTCGTCTGAAAAGCTTATCAATGTATTATTACATGTTACATTTGGTGAGACTCAAGTTTTTTGCGTCAGACTATTAAAAAAATTTAGGCATTGGTGAGATGATAGACTTTCTTGTTAGCTCAAACATCAAAATGCTGTCTTATAATTGCATTGAATAGACTCAAGATAATGTATGTTTTTAGTAAGAAGCTTCCCTCTTGTGTACAAAGCACCATTAATACCAGTGCTCTGTTATGCGCTTTTTATGTGAGGAGCTACTATTGTCTCGTGAGGCTCCAATCATATGGAAACAATATTTATTTCTGTTTGGCTACTCTCCATAAATAAAATATACAGCACGCGTTTCACCCTACTTACTTTCAACAATTACCATTCCATCAAAGATCGCTTATTGGTGTTGTCCGCGGCTCCAAGAATCGCGTTGACACGCTCGAAGTTCCCTTTGCTGTCAACATGCCTAGAGAAGTTGCTTTCGCTGGCAGTTTACCTTTGTCAATCTGCAGTTCCTTCTACCGCGACTATCGGTTACTCAACTCAGGAAAAGAATTAATGAGATAGAAATCGTGATGCATATAAATAAGATGATGATAATTAATAAGCATAGACATAGTTTTAACTAATAATTACGGCGAGATTATTATAATGTAATAATTCTGGTGTAAAATGTCTTGTTCGAGGTGGTATTTTTTTATCATTTTTTTTGATGAAACTTCAACATTGTCAACACTGCAGTTCCCTAAGTAAAATATTGTATTATTGTCTCTGATGAAACACGCCGTGTTTGTTAAGGACAAATAGTTTGAGAATGTGTCTTGAAACAGACTGTGTGAACTACGTTACAAAATCCTGTTTTACTGCATTAGGTTTAGTGTAAGGTGGCCGGAAATCAAATTACTTAACACGACTTTAGTGCTATAGTTGTTTAAACTAATTGCCTATTTAACAAGCTCAGCAGCAAGTGGTATCACTTAGGATGAAGATGTCCTTACCATAACATTCCCACCTCTTAAAACTCGGACAAATTGTTATAGGTATCTAATGAAATCATCCTTCTAACAAGCTCGTGTTTTACTGAAAAAAAAACTAAGCTGAAGACACATTATTTTAAGACGAAGTACGATTTAGACTCGGCGCCGTGAAGCTTAATGGCTCAGTTTAGTTCTTCCGATGCCTGACCACCAATAGACCATTTAAACACACGAGCAAGGTAACCGCTTTATACATATGCAAACTATATGCGCTAATAATACAGCGTATAAGACAATTCGATCCATGTAGGCCAAACACCGCTCTAAATGCATCATTCCACAACGAGGATTCAGATTAAAGGCAGATTTCCACCGAACATGGTTAATGTATGTTGAAACTTTTTCGTTCATTTAGAAATAAGAAAAAAAGTCAGAACAGCGAGACAGCGATATGCAAAGACATTATCAACTGACAAAAAAACTGGTTAAAGTAAAATCGCTATGAATAATTCCGTAAAATATGCAGACCTACGAATTCTACAAAGTAAAAGATAAGGGGCAGTAACGGTCATATGAAGTTGAAGTCGACTAAAATCAAAAGATTCTTAGATAATATCTATATTTCTTTATGCGCCTATTCCCCCAGACATAAGCTAAAAAAGTAACAAGAGTTTAGCCCGAATAAGACTGATTAGAGTTTGTAATATGCAGGTCATAATATGTATACAGTAATTCAAAACGTGTGCGTTACGAAGGACTGTGAGGTAGCAGATGTGTCTCGACTTCAGAAAATTCAATAGATGCAATTTTATATCGATTTATTGAAAGAGATTTACATAGCAAACCATATAAATCTTCTGATGTTCGATAACCCACGGAAAGCAGTAACAGCAATGTCAGAACTAATTAGGGAGTCAATGAAACAGCTTCTGGACATATTCGAGCAAAACGTGCAGTCCAGGTATTATTGAATTCTCACACAGAATAATTACAATGTCACAGTAAGTGCCATACAATGTTGTCCCATAACTGCATCAACAACAATGAAAGCTTTAGAAAAGCCATATAAATAAAACACCGCTTTAAAAACGTAATTATTAAAAGATGCTCGAAACTAAGCATTAAATGGTACGCTTTCACATAATATGAAAACGCTATAGATCAGACGACAAGAAGAATATGCATATACAGTAATAATTGAAACCCTCACTTGCACAGATACGTAAAAAAGTGCTACGCTTTCGGTGTCAAGACTCGGAACCTTGTCCAAACTCCAATATACCATATCAAGTGTGGCATGGAGGTTTAATTCTTGACATCCTGTAAGCATGCTTATCCACATAGTTTAGATGAGAATTGCATTATCTAACGCTTTTTATTAATATCACCTAAAATAACATAAGTTTAACTTCCATGGCGCGTTTTATTATTATGGTAATACTTCAGTACTATTTGGTCTAGACGTCAAATCTCAAAAATCACAGTGACGCTATTGAATACGCAGATCTCAGGTTTATTAAGTAAATATCTTAAATATGCATCATTAGAAAGGAAAACATAACCTCACAGGCACTACGCACTACTATAAGAATGTGTTGTCGAATTTTAAGAATTAATACTATAATCTTCACATTAGCTGAGAAACTAATCTCAATTCCGACAGATCAGTTACAAAAACGGAAGTTGCACGTACAGACCAAAAGAAAAGAAACAAAATAATATGATTTCGTGACATATATCGCTAGCAATTCGAAGAAAACGCAGTCACACTCCATATTTTTGTAAAATAGTATGAAAACTTCATCTCATGTGTCAGAAGGATATATCTGAATGTATCTCTAACTCAATAAATATGTGGCTCTTTTGCTTTGCATAGTGGTAGCGTAGAAGACGAGCTCTGTTGGTAATGGCGTCTCACGTATGTAAGTTACAATGTAAATGATGATGCCAGCCATATCCACAGATAAGGTATGTTTCAAACAAAAATAAACAATTGCATTAATAGAATAATTTCATCTAGCAACCCACGTAAAACTCGAGTATCTATGAAACGCATACACGATACTAGATATTTATGTGTGCTGCGTAAACGGACGTTAAACAGCATGCTCTCGATTGATGTATACAACAACACGCTCGAACTACTTGTTAGACGTAACATATGCGAAACGCTACAGAGAAACGCTTAGAGAAATGCCGTACTTATCACGGGCCTTTGTTAAATTTTAAAAAGCGTTTTACTTTGTAAAGCTTTTGAACAAAGATGCCTCACCAAGACATGATTCATTCCTTCCGGAACTACTCAATCTGGCGCCACCTCTGCCATCAGAAGGAAATCGAAAATTTAATATGTCACATAAGATCACGCTCAGAGTCTGCCAGTCTATTGGACTCTCCTGGAAAGGCTGGGTGATTCGCAGCTGTTCAGCAGCCAACAAACCGCCTGTAGCTTTGCCGTAGGACATAACTGACGTCTTCAGTTTTCGAGACTGCATCTACCTCATAAACCTTGAGTTGTCCACTCCATTGTAAGCTCTTGGTTGACTACAATTTCCGTCCACTGGAAGAGGAAGAACTAGTGCTATGCGTTGATCTTCATGAACTTCAAATGAATTTGGCAATTTTAGCTTCTAACCCTTATTATTTTGGCTGGTCCTG